AGGCCCCCGCAGCCCGAGCGGCCGGGAGCAGGGAGCGGGGGGGGGCGCGGAGCCTCCCAGCCTTTGCTGTTTCCTTCCCAGCTGCTGGAGCCGGACCTTCCTGTAGAGCCCCCGAGCCGGGGGTCTGCGTCCTCCCAGGACTCCGGGAGCTGGCACCCAGGGCTTCGGGGCTGCCTTTCCGCGCGGCTCGCGTAGCAGACCCCTGTGTGGGTCGCGGGTGCGCCCAGGGAGACGGGCCGTGTCTGGTGCCCGAGAAGAGGGAGGAAGGTGCAAAGAGATGCAGGTAACCCCGAAGTCGGAGGTTGGAGGCCCCTAAATGCAGGGCGCTGCCGCGATCGAGCTGGTCCCCAAAGTTTTCCGGCTGTGCAGGGGAAGGCGGGGTTGATTCTTCGGTGACCAGAGCCCGCGTCCTGGTGGGTTCGGGGGGACGGGTGCTGAACTGGGGGTCTAGGGAAGGTCAAGCCCAGAGCTGCCTGCCCAGGGGGAAAAACCAAACTGGATTTAAAAAGCGTTGGGCTGGGAAGCGAAAGGCCAGAAGGGCGGGAGCTGCAGCCTCCAAACAGCCCCGATGCCGGTGGGACCCTTAACCCAGCTGGCAGGGGATAGTCCCTCGTGTCCTGGCGATCCAGGACTGGAGCAGGGCTCCCGTGCTGACGGCTGGGATGTGACAGGCAAGCTTCGAATCTGCCCCGTCTCTGCCCCGCTGCTAAATACCACAAGCGGCGGGTGCCACAAGAGCCCATGGACTGCAGCTTGTTCTGCTCCCGTTTTCCTAGCACCGTGGGCAGTTCTCCCCCGGCCCCGGCTGGGCCAAGTGGTGAAATGAAGCTCGGCCAGGTAAGGCCTGTGTGCCCTGTGTCAGGTAACCCCAAAGCAGCAGACGTCTCGCACTGAACGGGGGCTTACGGCGCTCCAGAGCTGGCACCTTTGCCCAAAGAGCAAGGCAGGATGCCCTGCAGTGTGATTCATGCTCCCAGCATTGCAAGAGCTTCTCCGGGTCCGTTTATCTGAGCTCTGTCCGGGGCCCTGATCCTGGGAAGACGCATGCATACGTGTGCATGCCCTCAGCACCCGCCCCGTAGCGGGGGACATCCTGCCGTGTCCAGCTCAGGGTGTGCTGGGCTCTAAGATGCCAAGACAGATGTCACCCTCTTGGCTATGCTCTCTTGAAGCACTGTGGTATCGAGGACCGGCCTCTCCCCAGGATCCTGCTGCCTCTCATAAAAGGTTCTGGGCCTGTAGCACTTAAATGGCCATTTTCAGTGCGGGCGGCCTCGTCACTGAGCTCCGCTAGCTGCGTCCCTCGTCCCCGCCTGCCCCCGTGGCCCCAGGAGAGGGGCTGGCACATGCATTGTAGAGAACAGCCTGTTTGCTGCTCTCCCGCCCACGTGCCGAGGCAGTGGCTGCATTCGGCAGGCGTGACGGGCTCCTATAAATCACAGCGTTGCTTTTTCGAGGGGGAGTGGGCAGGCAGCTGGCAGCTGAAGGAGAAGGGCCCAGGGGTGGCAGCGCCGGCTTCAGACCCACGCTTGGCAGCTGCGGGTTCCCAGTCCACGATGATGAATGTGATGGCTGAGGAGTTCCCGCTCGTCTATCCCAGGCGAGCAGAATTAATCTCTAAAGGCCACTAAGAGGTGGCTGCTTTCCCTGTCTGCACGCAGAGGAACCCATGCAAGGCCTGAGACCTTCGTGGCCAGCACGGCAGGTGCCCGTGGGCCCGGCTGCATTGCTGGCAGTGCACGTCGGCAGTCCTGTCAAACTGGATCCCATCTCGCTGGCTCATGTCCCCGGACCAGTAAAGAAGCAATGGCCCATGCAGCCCTCGGGTACGTTCGCGGGTGGTGCGTTGTGCTTTCCCTGCCGTTGCTGCCCAGGCCCGGTAGACAGAAGCCAGCTCAGGTGGGCTGCCACATATACCACATTCGCACTCTGTTTTGCTGTGTAGGTGTCCCCGGAGATTAGCAGGCAGCCGTCAACACGGATTGCAAGCACCTTTGTTTCTCACGTTTATTTGAAGTCGTGCAAAATATATGGCAATGAGGTACCCAGCCTGGAGGGGAATAGCGCACCTGAAATGTCCATGGGGCAGGAACAGGGCACTTAGCAGGGGCAACTGCCAGAAGCTGTGACTCCTTGTCTTTCTGTAGGGCCACCGTTGTCTTGCTGCCAGACACAGCCGCGGGAGAGGTTGCGCTATCACGGTCTGATGCTGCCAAGATCCTCCTTTGCCTCTTTCAGTGCGAGTGAAAGGGCCCGAGCCAGAAATGTGGAGAAAGCCGAGGGGTGCGGAGGGACTGAAGCACTTCAAACGCCTTTGAAGCACTTTGGAGTTAGTAGTGCAGATGCACGTGCTGGTTGACACGCTCTAAAAGCACCGGAGCAGGTGCAGTCGGGCATGTGGCATGTCCAGGACTGGGGCCACTTGGTGGCCGGGCTCCATTTCCCTGCAGCCCTGGTGGTGGCAGCTTCTTTCGGCTCCTGGAAAACGAAGCATGCAGCCCTGGCCCCAGCCCACCCCGCCTCGGGGGCTGAGATCCCTGCAGCACCCGCTCCAGACCCGCCTGCCCCAGCCACGATGAGTGGTGGTGGGGGCTGGGCAGAGGCTGCTGCTGGGCACTGGAAAAAAGTGGGACGTGGCAGCAGTGGGACCTGGCTTACTCCTCTACTTGGGCTCGGACCAATTGCCAGGTTTGGAAATAATGGGATATGGGTTAATAATGAAGCAAGTGTCTGCTATTGCAGGCCACTCAAAGCATGGGAGGCATGGAGGGAGGCAAAGCTAGTGGGACTTTGCAAGAGCGAGGAGGCCCTAAGCCTGGCCCGGGGCAGGCAGCACTTGACAGCCTGGAAAGGACTCGGATTCAAACTCGTCTTCTTGGTTCAACACTTCTGAAATCCTTGAATGGCAACCAGGGAGATGGAGGGGTGGTGGAAGAACGTCACCTTTGGGTCTAAAGGGAGGGATAGCTATTGAGAGGCTTTTTGAGAAGAGTCACAAAGCTGTTGGTACGTGCAGTTTTCAGCCCAAATTAAGAGTTCCCTGGAGCCGGAGGACAGACTCCCATTGACGTCGGTGTGCGTTCGGCCAGGCCCTTAATGAGCCAGGTGTGCAGCCACCCGGCCTCCCTGGCCTGCTCCCCCAGCACAGCTCCTGTAGCCAGGCTTGCTTTACAGCTGCCCCAATACCTGCTGCCTCCTGTGCCCATCCTGTTCACGCCACGTACCTGTGCTCACATTGCCTTTAGCAATGATTTGGGGGTGGCTATAACTTGTTCTGTTTAAAACAACCCAACCTATTCTCCCTTGAGCCTTGGGCTTAGCAGGGCTTTTGGCGCTACGGCTTGTTCTCAGATTCCCACTCCTCCTCCAGTCTGTCTCAGCTGCTCGGTTCCTAGACAGATGCCAGCTCTTACCGGGACAGCTTGGCAAACCCAAACGAGTCGGAGGTGCTGAATGTATTTGTCGCTTATCACTTCTATTTCCAGCTGCGCTAATGTGCTGCGTCGCCCCCTTCGCCTGCTCTCTTACCAGCAAACGGTGCCAGGTTGGCAGCCCCAGAGCCTGGAGCAGGTTTGCTACGGTCTAAGCAGGGCCGGGTCAGTGGTGATGAGCAGCTGTTAGCAGCGACCACTTTATAAAATCCAAGGCAGCCCAGTGTGGTCTGTCAACAGAGAGACAATGGCCTGGATCCATCTATCTTCTGTAGCCCCCATAGTCTGAACAGATTCTCATCTCTACTGGGGGTTAAACCCCCGTCACGTGTACAAGCACCCTATTATGGGACTGGTTTACTCCACATCACAGCCTAGGACGCTCCATTTTGCACAGGTAGAGCTAGGCCCAGACCAGTTCCAGCTTGCTGGGGAGGGAGAAGAGAGCCAGGCGTGCATCCCTGCTTGCTAATCCCCTTGCACCCAGCTCCCGGCAGCACCAGGCACGAGTTCTCCCCACCAGCGGAAGTACCTGGCGGGTCACAGGTGCCCCTGGCACGTTCCTCCAGCATCTCCAGGGTCCCGTAAGGGAAGGCTAAGGGACACACGGGATTCTCCTGCAGCACCGGGGTTTGCAGGTCTACTGCCGCTGCTACCTGCAGCTTCTGAGTGCCTCTGGGGCTTGGTGATAGCCACGGTGTCCTGGCAAGGTGTTTGTTAGCGTAGATAACGATGGTGAAACGGGTGACCGTGACTAGTTAGCGACCCATCCCATTTGCCTTCTGGAATGAGCTCGTTCGCTTTCTGGAAAAAAGGCAGCTGCCAATTCTGGGTCTCAAAAGGGGGTTGCTAGAGCCCTCGGTCTCCCCTGGGACCCTAATCCCTTTTCTTGCACCAACTGCACTGAGTAGTAAAGTCATCATCCATGCAAAGACATTAGAGGGGCTACCCAGCCCAGTGGCGGGCGAGGTGGACGGTCTTTGGCTGAGCAAGACCTGTTCAGCAACTAGCCAGGCCTGGGGACAGTGTATCGACCATTCCCAAACCCCTTGGAGACTGGCTTGGGGGGCTCCTGAGGGGTGCCTCTGCCTCTGTGCAGCCCCCGCTGCTCCCCAAATGCTGCGGCGGGAGCTGGTGCCCTCCCCAGACTCTGTGTCCCGGGGGCCAGCTTTGCCCTTTGGCTGTCTCATAGCGAGACGCAGGTCTTGCAAAGCTGCTTGTGCTGCCCCCCTCGCTGGGGTGGGCAGAGGGGCACGCACAGACAGCCCGAGGAAAGCGCCGGTTGCTATAGCCAGTTTTAATGGAAGCCGGTCTCTGCCCTTCACCAATATGACGGAGCGGGACAGGCTTCGGACGCAAATTCGGGATGAATGACGTAGCTGCCCCGCTGGGCTCCTGTCTTCTCGAAGTGGCTCGTGTCCCACCTGGGAGAGGAGACACAGCAGAGGTGTATAAGCCTGCGGGCGCTCCCTTGTCAGCCCCCGCGACGTGCAGCCCGGACTTGCTCTTTGCTGAGCGACGGCAGGAAGGTGCTTCCACCTGCTCGCTGCCAAATACCGACTGCTGGGTTTGGTGAAGGGTGGCCGGGCCAGGGGGCCGCCTTGAGAGGCAAGAGAGGAGGAGAGGGATGTTCAGGGCCAAGGGCAAGGACATCTTTTCCTAGCGGGGCCTTGCCTGTGCTCCGCTCGGAGCAGGCACCAGAATGCACCAGGGTGGACTGGCATTTTCCACACACGCCTGCAGCTACAGCAATGCCCCTCCGGTGCTAATATCGCCAGCCCCAGGGCTATGGGGCAGCATTCATAAATCCCCAGCTCCTGGAGTCGTGGGATTAGGTCAGAATCTGCTGCCGGGTTTTTTAAAAAGCAGATCTCTCACCTTTCTGGCTCTGGAGAAAAAAGGCTCAGAAACCGGAATGCAAATGGGGACAGCCCCAGGTTCATCATCTAGCGTGGGAGCTGTGTGTGTGTTGTGTTTTTGCTTCAGCCTCATCAGCTGAGCTCATGATCTCACTGGTTTCTAGGTCCCTAGGCCTGGACCTGAGCCCGGAAGAGCAAAGTCCTTGGCTGCGGCTAATCTCATCAAACAGGCCTCGCAAGGCCCGTCCCAGGGTAGAGCTGCCAACTGGGTGGAAGGACCCTAAAAGTAAATTTGCAGAGATTTAAGAGGTACGGCTGGCGGGCTGGGGAAGGACGAGGCAGATTAGCAACCCGCAAGGACCAGCACGGCATGCAGACGTGTCTCGAAGGGGCTCTGCTGCCTGTGCTTTCCGTTTTATGCTCTTCCCCCAACGTGTCTGCTACTTGCCACGGTGGGACACAGGCCTATTTGCTATACGGAGGCGGTGGACCTAGGAACTACGAGTCCCCCTCAGTACCTGGAGGGCAGCCACTAAAGGTATGATGCTGAATCCCATGGGACAAACGATGAGCGAAGAGGAAGGGGAGCGCAGGTCGCAGGTTAGCAGCCAGCAAACACATCAGAGGGGCCTGCCCAGTAAAAAGGGGCTTCATCTCCCTGGGAGCCTCGCCGGGCTACCGTCAGACATGTCATTGGACCTTACTGAAATCCCGAGTTGACGGCAGTGGCCTGTCATAGGGGAAAGTGCAGGGCTGTTCTCCACAGGGAAATACGTTACCTCGTGGCGCCCCCGTGCCCCCCACTCCCAGCGGCCCCGGGGGTAAGGCTCTTACTTAAGGTTCATATACGGGGATGATGGCGGCGGGTTGTGCAAAGGTGCATGGCACGTCGTTTCCTGGCGGCTGTCGCAGTATGGGATACTCCTGAAACACAGAGGCGGGCCCGTGTTAGCCGTGGCCCATGCCGGCCAGGCTCCCTCGTCTCCTCCGTGTCGCTGTAAGCTGGAGGGTTAGCGATGTTCCCCACCGGCAAGGGACGACGGAGCAGCGTGGGCACTAGAGAGCTGCGTGGTGCTGGGAGTGCAATGGGGGGGAAGACTGAAGGCCCCAGCCCCCGGCTGCAGGGGAGATGGCTCTCTGGGCCTCTCGGGCTTGGGGGAAGGCTGCTGGCATGCCCTCCGTCGCATGGGGAAGGGGGGCAGCCAGTGTGTCCTTGGCACCTGTCCCGGGGTAGCTAGGAGGTCGCTTTCCCAGCCCTGCACCCAGTGACCTGCCCAAGGGCTGAGCTTCGGGCAGACCTGGCTGCACCCGAGCTCTCTCTCTGGACAAAAGCAATGCCCAAAGCGGCTTTCCGACTCGGTGCGGTGAGGCTCACAGTCCCGCTTTGGTGCGTGGCCACTGTCTGCCCCCATCTAGCGCGTTGCTTGTCCCCAGGCCCCTGGACCAGCCACGCGGTAGTAACTGCCCCTCCTCGCCCTGCCCTCCCACCTCTGTGGCTCAGCCTGGCGTGGGGCTTTTGGGGTCCCCTCTTTTGGCATCCTCTGTCCCGCTGTGAACGTGGGCTGTGTTTGGGGGTAGGGCAGGGGCAGAAGGGAGGTTTCCCAGACTGTCACCCTGGCCAGGATTGCTCCCGTCTCCTGGGTGCAAGTTCAGCGTTGCCTTCGGTCGTGACTCTTGCAGCCAGTGGCTGCGATGAATTGTGTCAGCTCTCTGCCCCCCTCCCATGGCAGAGGCAATGGGGGGACCCCGGGGCATGAGGGGATGGGGGTGGGAGTGGTCTGGCTTCCCCTGCCAGCACCCCCACTTCTCCCAGCCTCTCCTGGCCCTTTCCCAGCGATGGGGGATACTGTTCGGGTCCCAGGCAGTGGGGTGGAGGGTGGGAGCAGGGGGCCCCTCCCGTTTCCCACCCACCACCGAGGCACCGAGGAGCGTGGCAGGTGCAGGCCCAAAGGGCACGTTCCCCAGAGCCCCGGGTGCTGCCAGACGGGATCCCCGGGGGCTTCTTGGCTCGGCCACCGGAGACACGGCTGACCCGGTGGCCTGGCTAAACGGCTTGGACAACTGAGCATGGACAACTGAGCCTTTGCCCCCTGGCACGTCGGACGGGAACGAGGGCCCCGTCCCCACAAGCCCTGCTGCACCCCTACTCCAGGTCTGCAATCCTTACTCCGGCCCCCGTTGCAGGAACCGATGAGCCGGACTCTGACTTTGCTGAAGCCGGCGCCTCCCCCGGATGTCTTGGCTTCCAGAGACCCCGGAGAGAAAGCCCTTGACCCTGAACGGGGCTGCCACCCCGCCCCCAGCAGAGTCCTTTCTCCGTGCATCCCTGCTCCCTTCCCGGGCCCGAGAGGGGAAGCTGCGGGTCCCCCGCGCAGCCTCCGAACCTTACAATCTTCTCCACGAGCTGGTTGAGCCGCCTCTCGTTGGGGGCTCCGTCCACGTAGTAATCCATCCCTCGCAGGCAGTAGTGGCGGCCTGTGCACGGGCTGTGGTAGCCTTGGAAGGGGCGCCTCCCGGGCACCGTGTGCTGGTGCTGGAGGGAGGGCAGCTGCTTCCGCGACAAGCTGTTCAGCATGTTGACGATGACTTCCCGTTCTGGAACGAGACGGGTTTCGTGGCAGCCTGCAGCCCCGACACGTGGGCCCGTGGCATCCTTGGCCCACCCGCCCCCTGTTACCAAGCCCACGGCGACTGGGGCAAACCATGCCCACCCGTTAGTCCCAACGAGGTGTACGTGCTCTAGTCGTATCACAGTGTAGGGCACCGGGGACCCTCCAATGAAGCTAGGGTTTAGGCCAAGCCAGTGCAATTACCATAACTGTTGAGCTGGTCGGGCTTCGGAGGGTATCTTTCCCGGAGAACGGTCTCCATTTCGGTTTCCTGGGAGGAAAGATTTCAGAGCCTTTGCTTACGTCCAGTTAACGGGCAAAGCCCTCGAGTCCTCTACGGAGCGGGATCAGCAGGGGCAGGGCCCTTTGCTCGGGGAGGTGAGGGGCCGTCTTGCCTCCTCGACCTCTCGGTGGCAACTCCCAGTCCCAGGGCTAATTGGTGGTGATGATGATGTGGGAAAACACTGTCTTCCTTTTGAAGGGTATCGTTGCATTTCATCTCTTAGACCTAGCTCCTCAAAAGCACCAAGGCCTCTAGCTCCATCAGTGGGCATTACCTTTTCCCTCCATCTGGGATACAGGGATAATTGTACTTGCTGCCCTACTGCCTTGAGATGCCTTGGTGGAAGTGAGAAGCAGTATTACATTAAATTGAGGCATGGGTAATGAGATGCCAAAGCTGTTGTTTGGGGAGGGGGCTTAGCTGGGCGATTCACATTGGGACTGTTAGAAGAGCCCCATGGGCTGACACCCCCATAGCCTTGCAAGGACACCCCCGAGCGACCCCCCCCCCCCCCCCCCCCCCCCATGGCGGGGTAGGAGCTCAGCTGGTTTCGTAGAGAGGGCGAGGGGGTTACCTTGGGCAGCCGGGGCAGGTAGGTGGTGTATCTGTTCCAGCTGGCACTGTTGTAGGGTCCTGTCCGCCATGTCGCGTACCGGTCGCCTTTCACAAAAATGGGGTTGTACGTTTCTGAAAGACAAGCGGGCAGACAGACGCACGTTTTCTGTCGGGGAAGGAGAAGAGCAGCAGGTGCAGCTCCACGGTGCTCTGAGGTCCTGGGATCCAGCCTCTGGTATGACCCACGTGAGACCTGGTAACCCCTGTATCAAGCCCCGTAGCTTATGCCAGCCCGAAATGTGCCCCCGGCCTTGAAGTCATCAAGAGATGGGACCCCCCCCACTCTGCTCTTGGACTCCAATGGCCAGTCGCTCTCCGCGGCCAATCTGTGACCCATTACTGGAGTGGGTCTGGCTGCGGGTTCTTGCTCTGCCTTTTTCCACCGGGCAAGGGAGCATTTCTGTTCCCAATCATTTCTGCTCATGAAGATGCAGTATAACCCGGGTCATTCCTAAGTGAGAGGTTTGCAACCCACTGGGTGCATGGCAGGTGGCTGAAGTAGGCTGAAGTTGCATGTTGTGCTTGGACCACACTAAGGGCACTTAAAATGTGAGCGACTGCATATTAAAGCTCATTAACTCATGCTAAAGGCCCTCTGAGAGTCCCAAAGTGACGCCACATCAGGCGAGGGTTCACTCTGGGCCGTGCTACCCCAGCTCATATTAGGCTCACTTCAGTGTGCTCCCTGGAGATAAAACCAGCAATGTGCAGTACTCCAGCATCCCAGGATGCATTGCTCCCAGCCAGGCCCCTGCTCACCAGCCTTCTAGTGGCAAATCAGAGCTGTGCAGCAAGAAATGGCATTAACCCTTAACGTACCACAGATTTAGCATGGGCTATGTGCAACGTGGAGCTCAGAGACAAGCTCCTCAGCTGTTTGCCCTGGATTTTACTTCCCAAGAGCTCATCGGTGGTCCCTTGCAGCTCATTGGAGAAACACCCTCTGATGCCGCCAACATCTGCAGCCCGTCCATGGCCCTGCCCAGCTGCTTGCTGCCACTCTATATACCCTGGCAGCCAGGAGCCCAACCCTGTGAAGCAGCCAGATTCGCCTGTGCTCTGCAATCAAATCTCTTCTTGATCTTGCCTAAAGCTAAAGATGCAGAGCTCTTGCAGCCTCTTGCTGTTTTCTCCGGCCCTGCAATCGTATCGGTGGCTTTCGGCTGCATCCTTCCTAGGCCCATTGAAAACGGGGCACGGACCTGGATGCAGTATTGGCCCTTCAGTGCTGCATGCAGGGGGGATACCGCCTCTTTCCCCCTCCTCGCCCTGCCCCGGTCTATAGAGCCACGGCTCATGTTAGTCCTGTCTACCACCGCAGCCTGGGTAAAACCTGGATAACCGAGACAGCCAGACACATGGCCCTGGTGCCTAGGCTGAAACTCATGACATCCCATGACCTGAGCAGGGCCACGCCTTGTCATTATAGGTCGGGGAATGCGGGTCCCGGTGCAGGGACCGACGTCGTTTCCACTGCAGCTAGAAGCGAATCGGCTCCACACTGCAATGCTAGAGGATCTGGGGTGCTACAGGTGCCCTCTTGGGATGCGACCTACAGCGAGGCCTGGCTCCCTCCTCAGTTTTAAAGATCCTTTGGGAGCTTTCCTGAGAGAAAGGCAATCCTCCTTACCCGAAGTAGAAGGAGATGCTTTGGTATCCCTGGTATGGCTACGGCATCTCCGTTAGGGGAGGCACAGACTCCTTTGCACGATCCCCTTGGCATGGGAGGAGGGAAGCGGGAGGCACAGGCCCCGGCCCACAGCTCATGGGGACCGTGTTGCCTGCGAGACCCTCCAGCATTGCTCGCAGCTGGGGGAACCGAAGGGCTACGAGGGGGCTGGCGGGAGAGCAGAGCCCGACGTCTGTAGCCCGTTACTTGCTCAGCGGCTGAAGAAGCGCAGGGTGCATGTAGCCAGAGCAGGATTTTCGAACCTCCCAGCCGGGGCTTCGGTCGCAAGCGTTGGACCCACATTTGGGCACCTGCGTCCCACTGAACGCGCGGTGGTTCGGACCCCCTTTTGCACCTGGGCCCAAAGTCTGTATGCAGCCTCCTGGCTTTGCCGGGAGCTGCGGGGGTGTCGCATGGACCCTCACGCAGGGCACCTGTTTTGGAGGCTTAGCTGAGCTGTAACAGCAACCATCCCATCCCCTTCCAGCACCTGAGCCCCAACACAGCCGCGGCGTGCCCACGGGAAGGGCACCAAGGAGAAGCAGTGAATGGGGGGCGCCAGGAAGCCAGTTCATGGGTGCCACCAATTAAAGAAAGAAACCAAACTTGATTTTTATGAGCTTGGGCCGGGCCCCGGAACAACTCTGAGCTCTTCTTCCCCACTTGGAGGAGGAAGATGAACCTTGCAAAGAAGGGGAGAAGCTCAGTGACAGGAGGGAGGAAGAGGGACCCTCTGTATCCCCATGGCCGAGAGAGGAGGGATCTTGTCTCGGCGCCTGCAGCTCCCAGGTCAATAAATGTAGAGCCTGGCCTGCCCACCTTCAGGCAACCTCATCCCTTCTCGTGCCTGGATAGACCCACGTCTGCCCTGCTCGCTGCTGGTGACACCCGTAAAGTGCTCGCGGGTGGTGCCAGGTCTCTGCTCGTGGCAGGCGCACACACACAGCTCCATCTTCCTTCCCAGCTGGGGGGCAGAGCAAAGGGCCAGGCAGGTGGGGCAGCGTCTGCGTGGGGAGCAGGGCTGGCTTTGCTAGGAGGCTAACAAGGAGAGGTCCCCTGGTCTCTGTCCTCCCCTCCCGACAGCAGCAACAGGAGGTGGGAGAGTCAGGGGATGGGAGCCCGTTTGCAGCAGTGGTGGGACCTGGCCCTACTCGCCTGCATGCACTTTATCCTGGTTGCTGAGCAGGTCCGAGCCTGCCTGGCGCTTGGATGGGAGACCCCAGTGGAGTGCCAGGCACTGCGGGTACAAGGCATCGTGGCCAAACGCTACGTTGGAGAAACCGAAATGGGTGGCAGAGACTCGGTGCGGTCCCGCTGGGAGGCTTCAACCGTCTCTGCCCCTGGGCCTGGGAGCTGGGATATAAGGGAGGAGTTGGGAGCTGGCAGCGGGGCACGGGCAAGGGAGCGCTCCAGCGGTACCTTCGGGCCTGGTTATCCAGTACTTGTCCGGCCGATAAGCGGTGGGGTCTATGGAGCTCTTGTAGGAATACTCCTGCACTGCCTGCTTGATCATCCTCTCCAGGTGAGCTTGGTTCACTGGATTTTCCACTCTGGGCATCGTTAATCCCTGCAGACGACAGGCACCAGGGACAGATGATTTAGGGACGCTTGCACCTGGGTACACGGCTCCTTTAGCCAGGCTCCCCCAGAGGCATCTCTCAGCACTTCCCCGCCCGGTGCATGTAGGTCCTGCCCTGTCCCGCACCTCTTCCCTGGAGCTGCATCACCCAACCCACCAAAAAGACGCTGCCCTGCACCCACCTGTGAGCTGTGTGGGACAGAGCAATGTGCTGGCTCCTGCTGGAGACTTGCTTTGGTCTGTAATGGAGCAGGATCCAGCCCCTCTATCCTCTGCGTTTGCTAAATAGCCGCATGCCCAGTCTCTCCCCCTTCGCCAGAGCAACCACATTTGCTCTGAATGTCTCTGGGCAACGTCTCAATCCCTGCTTGACGGGCTCCGAGTCCAGCAGCCGGGCGGCAGTCGAGGGGTACCCAGCAGCCCTGCATCCCCCTGCTCTGCATGCTCCCCTGCTCCGAGGCGCGCGGCCGGACCCCACCTGGAGCTCTCCAGCTCGCTTGGCAGGGGATGCAGCCTGGAGGCATCTCAGAAATGCAGCAGTAGGCACTCCCTGGCAGCTGGGTAACCCAGTCTGGGACTGGGAGGGCTTTGCTGGGAGTGGGTAACCCAGGGTGACATGCAAGCTTCCCTCTTCCTCCTCCCCAGCTCAAGCAGGGAGCAGCGCACAATGCAGAGCAAACAGCCTGGTGCAAAGCAGGCTGGCAGGATGCACGCAGGCGGGGGGAGAGGAGCAGCTGGCAAAGCAAACATGAAGCCTGGAGCCCTTTTTGCAGGCTCTCCATCCATGGCAGGTGGGCCAGGGAGATCAAACGCTCCTCAACCCAGGAGAGACCTGCAGGAAGAAAACACGGCTTGGTAACCTCAGCGGGGAGAGCAGCTCTGGGGACGCCCATCATGCCCTCCCCTGGACTCCTTTTTAACACGGAGATGGAAATCGCTGTCATTTCCCTGCAAGACCCCTGAGGACGTGGCTCGCTGCACAGCCAGAGCGCAGGGGATGGCATATGCGGCCTGGCTGGAGGAGGAGGACAAGCATGGCAGGGAACGAGAATTAATTAAGCATCCTGCTTAATGAATTCATGGTTGCAGAGCGGGTGGGGAAGCTGGAAGGATTATTAGCGTTGTCATTAGATCTGGGAGCCGTCGTGCCGTCAGGTGGAGTCTGGGTCAGGGGCTCTGAGGTCCGTCCGCGGGCTCCCAAGGAAGACGGAGGCGGATGGAGCTGCGTCCTCTGCCTGCCAGGCCGGGCGCTCACCTGGGCCTGTCTGAAGTGCGTCGGGCAGTCAGGAGGTTGCACTGCCGGGCTCTCAGATGGGAAGATGCATTTTCAGAGCATCCTTCCACGGTGGAAGGGGAGCTGCCGGCCTACGCCACGGCTCCCCGCTCCCTGCTTCTGCAGCCGCCGGCACGTGGGTCAGCGGCACCCTGCAAATCTGGCTCTGATACCACGGCTTTGCTTGCACTGAGCTACTGGACTCATGATGCCCGTGTTCCCCCTTCCCCCACTGCTCTCACTGGTCCTCTCCTCTTGAGACCTGTTGCAGTTTCTTTGTTGGCCCGTCCATGTCACTTTGAAGGGGAGCGGTGACAACGAAACCTCCCCTCGGGCAAGCAACAGGTCCTGAGCGACCGCCGTGCCCGCGAGCATCCAGAGCAGCTGTGCGAGCGAAATCCACCCACGACGGCCAAGAATGCCATGACCACCCCCTGAGCTGCCAAATCTCCCCCAGAGCCAGGGACCGAAGACAGGCCTGGCAAGGATGGTGCCAGGGAGGCCTCGAATGCAAGGACGAGCTCCCGGTTCATCGCGGGGCTCGCGGGCAGCGCGCAGCGTTCACGAGGACGTTTTTCTTGGCACGTGGGGAGGTTGCAGGCTCAACTTGGCCTTGTTTTTTGCAAGCCTCTTTACTCAGATTTGCCCTCGGACCGAGCAGAGCTCCCTCCTCTCGGGGCTACAGAGCACGGCAGTGCTCGTTTCCCTCCGTCTCTCCACCAGAAGCTCCTCCACTTTAACCCCCCCAAATCCTTACACGTTGCCAAGCACAGGGATGGAAACCGGGCTCTCTGCCCTCGCTGGAGCGTGCCCAGTCGCTCTGGCTCGGTGAACATTTAATTATTCCCTGCAGACCACAATGGCCTCGTTGCATTGCCCGACATCCTGCTCTCGGGTCCCGCTCCCGGGGGCACCTGGTTCAAAGCCGTGCTCTGAATCGGGCAGGGGGGATTATCCCCGTGTTGTGTTTGTTAAGCACGACAGCAGCCCCAACTCCTCCTCTTCCTCCCTGGCTAGGTGACTTGCTTGCATGCCCCGAAGTCCCCGAATCCCAGTCTCTCCCAGCAGGACCTCCAGCCTTGGCCCCCCAGGCAGCGTAGAGCCCTTCCCAGCAGTCCTCTACGTGCCAGCCTCCCTTCCCAGTGCCCATCCACCCTCCACGTGGTCCAGCAAAGCTCTGGCGGGCACGGACCCGAGAGCTGCACCCTTCGACGTGCGAGATTTACCTCTGTGATAAACTCGTTTTTCTTCCACGTGTTTGACAGAGGCTCCTTATAGTTGTGCATCATGGACCGTGGCGGCCGGTAGGATTCGGTGTAGGTGCTGATGGGCGTCTTGGTTTTGTGAGCAAAGAGGAACATCTTGTGCTCGGGTCGTGGACGGGGACTGAGCCTGCCGTCCCAGCTCGGGCACGGCCGCGCCAGGGGCTGTGTGACCGGAGCGAAGCTCTGAGTCGCGTCGCAGGGGAGAAGAGGGAAAAGCTGCCCACTCTTCTGGAGCGAGCGCCGTCTGTGTCTCGAGTACGCCAGCTTCCCCTTGCTCGCATCACCTGTGATGTCACAGTCGGCCCTAATGTCGGTAAAGTATAACGGTGGGCAGCCTCAGGGCGGGCACCTTGGGCATCCGAGGTGTGATAGCAACAGCTCTCAGCAATCTTCCCAGGGTAACATCGTCTAGGTTTGCTCCATTATAACATTGGGTACCGGTGCCCAGTAACCTCCGTAACTACCAGCTCAGCGGATGAACTGGGATTCGGGCGATGGACGGCTCCATGTAGCGTTCCCAGTGTTCGGTTTTCCCGAAGGCCCTGTCCACACGGGCACTGCTGCTCTCAAGGGATGCAGGACTGTTGGCCCTGAGCCGAGGACCCGGGGCCCAAGTGCGAGGGAAGCGTCGCTGTGACACGAGGCTGGGGGCGCTGGGGGCATCAGCAGGGCTGCAGGCCCGGGCACAAGCATGTGAATGTGGGTTCAGGAGTGAAGGTGGCCTGACCAGAGCCCAGGGAGCCCCAGCTGAAGGAAGACACTGGCTCAGGGGATGCCCTGGGTAGGAGGGGTGTCCACATTTGACTGTGATGTGTGTCCTGTGCCCCATATTGCTAGACACAGAGGAAGAGTCTCCTTCAGCTCACGTGGTGGGCACGCGGCTTGGAGCGGGCGGCTCTGCGCTCTGCCCTCCCTGTTGCTGTGAATTTCCAAGGAGCCGTGTTATGCAGCCGTGATCCCTTGACCCTACCAAAGCCGGATGTATCCAGGTCCACGTGCTGGATCCAGGGACGTGCACATAATCCAGGTGCAGAAGAGTCTGCAAGGCCAGTTTATGCGATGCGGTCTGTCTCAGTCTGCCGGGCACCGCCTCGGCACGGTGCCCAAGGACATGCCCTGCGGCTTTATAGCTGTCTGGAGCAGACCTAGGATTGCACCGCGCAATGTGCAGACCTCCGTGTTGAGCTAGAGCCCGCTCATCGGGCGTTCAAGTAGCCGGGGTAGGATTTTCACGGTGTTAACTTGAAGGTAGGCCGCTGCGTCACAGGCACGAGGAGCTTCTTGGAAGAGTAGTTGGTGTCGGGACAGCTAATCCTGATAAAGTGTGCACCCGCTTGCCTAAGAACGACAGGTTGCTGCATTGGTTGCTGCGAGCCGTTGTGTGAGGTGGGAGATAAGAGCTCGGTTCCTCTGGCATCCTCTGCTGAGGTCCCCAGCTGCAGACGTAGCGCGGCTCCGACGGTTCATAAAAATCAAAAAGTGCGGCTGGAAAGGACCCGCAGAGGCCACATCTAGTCTGACCCCTGCCTGAAGCAGGGCCAGGGATCGGTCCAAACCCTCCTGCACAAAAGCATCCTCCAAACTCGTCACAAAACTCCCCTTAGCCCTGACACAGGAGAAGACGTCACGCCTGAACCTGCCCCAGGGAAAGCGTGGGGACCGCGGCAGCCGACGTCCAGCTTCGAACTTTGTCTGCAAAGCCGGCTAGGATCTCCCTGCCGGGCTGGCCACCCGTCAGCGACTGCTACGATTTCTAAGGTGCAGCACGGCTCCGTGGACAGACTCCTTATTTCTGCTCGGATCATGAAAGTAGATCTAGGGCTCTCCCGTGTTGCTCACTGCTGGCTAGCGGTGCCCATCCCTGGAAATTTGGTGCACTTGGTTTCTACGCCACTGAAGGCCTGGTTTTGCATGAGTAGCGGGGCTGCCGAAAGAAACCCTCGGACCCCCACATCCACTCGAGGGGGTCAGCAAATGGTTGCTGTAGGAGAAAGGCACCAGGCTTTCCTTTAGCAGCACCTCCAATAAAATAAAGGCTTCCTGCCTCTAATGCCCAGCCTCCCACCGCCGTAGCCCGCGTGCAATCGGCCTGGGCCAAAAGTGCAATGAAGCGTGCCGCAGAGAAGCGGGGCTGGAAGAGACCTCCAGAGGCCATGTCGAGTTGTGAACGCCCTGCCGGGGGCAGGATCAGCCCCGTCCAAACCAGCCCAAACACAAGTTGTCGTCGAGACGCTCAGCCAAACGACCGCTCCTGTCTCATCGGTGCACGTGGAGCGGCGTTCCCCCGGCTTGTTGTGCGTCCAGTCGCACGGCACACATGACTGACAACTGGGGCCGTGATTCAGCCTGTCTCAGGCGGGCGATTTCCAATGCTCACGTGGCAAGTGGCCGAGGCAGGGACTGGACAGGAGCCTCCGGTCAGGCGGAGAAAGCA